TAGGGTAGGTGGGTTTCAATTCTCCTCCTCTCCTTCTCCCTCCCCCCACCGCCCCATGCCTTGTCCCCCTTCCCCATTCCTTGCACCCCCATTGCTGCCCCTGCGAGGGTCGATTTCACTGGGGGTCCGCAGGAAAAAAATGCATTTTCCCCCTCGGTCCAGGAAGACCCTCCCTGGGACGGGGGGGTCAGTTGGAGACCAGGTAGGATTTGAAGGGGGAAGGGGCTTTGGATCCCCTTGAGTCTGTACCCCTAATCTCTGCTCGCTGCATGGAGGACCCCCACCCTTATGCTTCCCTTGCCCTTTATTCCCTCCCCAAAAGACTCTGTGCCACAAAACGCTGCCCCCCTCCTCTGCCTCCCCCCCTTGCCTTTCATCTCCCACTCCCCAAAAATCCAGATTCAACCATGGCTTCAAATTCTCTGCTTTCCACCCACTGCAGAGATGCTCGATTCCCCCCCCCCTCCATTGTCAATCCCTTTAAACAGCCCCCCTCCCCAGTTTCACCTGGACTCCTGGGTAGTCCAGCTCCAGCCTCGGGGACAGCCTTGCATGTTGTGGGGGGGGGGGTTTCCCGTCCTGCGCAATGCGGACGGTGGGAGGTTTTTTTTGGAGGGGGGGGGAGACGTGATCTTCTTCAAATCATTCCCCTCTGTCGGAATGGCAAGTTAATTCTCCTGGGGGGAATTAACCAGGTTTGGAAGGGAGGGAGGGAGGGAGGAGGGGGCTGGCCTCCCCTCTCTCCCCCCCCCTCCGAGGCTGCAGAGTTTCTTCCCCCCTCCCAGGGTTCTGCCCTCCCCCCCCAAAATCCCTGGGGCCAAATTTCCTCCGGTTCGGTGGGGATAATTAAACTTAACATTGGAAGAAGTTTCTTTTCTTAGATTAAGAGATTAATTTTCCTATTTCAGATTAAGAGATTCCTGAGCCAAATCAAGAACTGGTTTGGGGGGGGCGAGGGGGGGGAGACGTGCCCACTTGTGCATGTGTGCGTCTGCCCCCTACACACAAACACACACACACACCGCAATTTGCACAAGGCCCTTGCTCTTTTTCTTTTGGACTGGAGTCCAGGCGAACTTAAAAGTGCCATAAACAAGGAATCGTTGACAAGGTTTAAGTGGTTGTCTGGATGCCCTCCAAGTGCTGATAGGGCGAAATTCGCACCCGGCGTATGCATTAGATCCAGTTGCTCCCTGGAGATCCATTTCCCCGCACCGCCCTCCTCCCCCCGCCCCCCCCCCCACTGCCCCAGAACCTGGGTCAACACAGGGAGTTCTTGATTTACAAACACAATTCAGCGCTAGATTTCCGTTGCTAAACGAGATACTCGTATGTGATGTTTTCCCCCCCCTCCCTGTTTTACGCCCTTCCTTGCCACCGTTGTTAAGTGGATCGCTTCCGTGGTTAAATGAGTAGCACGGTTGTTAAGCGGATCTGGTTTCCCCCATGGACTTCTGCTTGTCGGGCGGTTGTAAGAGGGGATTATTTTAGGAACTTTCTTGCTGCAGTTAAGTGAATCACTTCGGATGTTAAGTGAGTCACGTGGTTGTAAGTGAATCCGGCTTCCCCATTGACTTTGCTTGTCAGAAGGTCCTCGAAGGGGATCAGATAACCCTGGGACACTGCGACCGTCATAAATATGAGTCAGTTGCCAAGCGTCTGGATTTTGATCACGGGATCCTGCAACGGTCATAAGTGTGAAAAACATCACGAGTGACTTTTTCTGGTGCCGTTGTAACTCTGAACAGTCACTAAATGAACGGTTGTAAATCAAGGACTATCCCCAAATCCCAAAGGCTTGGATAACCCTGAGCAGCGGATTTCATCCAATTATCCTTTCTTTCTCTCACACAAAGACAAACACACACAAACACGCACAGAAATGCATACAAATACACACAAACACAAACATGCAAAGAAACACAAACTTACACAAACACAAACTCACACAAACACAAACAAACTTACACAAACACAAACGCACAAAAATACACAAACGCACACAAAAACACAAAGATGCACAAACACACAAAGACGCACAAACACAAAGAAACAAACTTACACAAACA